TATTTGTGAGTGCAATGTGGCTTGAGATGAGGAAACCATAAACATTTCTTTAGTCACTCACAGTTGATGCTTTTTGTGTCAATGGATCATACCTAATTATTTTTAACTCTAACATATTTCCAGATTTAGCTATAATTGTATTCATTGCTCATATTTTCTAATTACACCTCCGATTAGCAGGTTAGCAGTAAAGCATGCTAAAGATAAGTGCATGCTATTGGCATACTGTGTACAATTTGTTTTTGGAGCTTTCTGTGTATTCAGACTGTTAAAATTCAGAGAGACAAAAGGAAATATATTTTTTGGGGTCTTGAAGGGGCTTTAAATTGAAAACAATAGAATAAATAGCCTATAATCTTGAGAAATTTACGGGAGATTAAGTTAAAGAATCAAAGTTAATCTCTTGCTCATCAGGAGCAGAAATATGGTGTATGTTTCAGTCATATTTACAGTAGGAGTCCTCACCTGCCCACTATAATATGAGTAAGCAGTCCTTATTACAAAATAATCACGCCTTCAACAGGGCTCAGCTGTACAAGTTCCCTTCAAGCGATCAGATTTGTTAAAGGAACAGCTGTCCATCCATGCCTTGGTCCTTGTTTTCATAGAAGCATTTGAACGGATTATTACAGGTTGATGTGCTGAATACATTCTGTCATAGACATACCGTATTTCCAGCGTCAAATTTTTTCCTTATTAGAGCACACTTACTTTGAAGTGTAGCCTAGGAATGTTTGCTTATATAAAATGTTATTGATTTATAATTTTCCTGAATCTGCCTAAAGATATATATATATTTTACCTTTCTACAATCCAACATCTCTTCATGGGAAATCTGAAATACACTTACACAGGTTTTGTTGCTATCCTGACTTGTAGGGTGTTATTTTAAAAATATGAAAGGTTTAGGCATTTTGTTTTATATCCTGATTAAGTTATCAAAATCAACTCAATCTCGGAAAGAAAGTCTGTCTGTAACTCAAGCACCCAGGTCTGTTCAAAACAACTGTTTTTTTAAACTGCACACTTGCTAGATGATGTCCATCTATTCTGTTAGGTGTGTAACAGATGTGCAGTATAACAAAACAACAGTTCTTTTAACGTTAATTTAAACTTTAAGAGACTCTCAATTTGAAAATTAATTATACACATACATATCTTAATTTTCCTGCCAACATGTGGTTTCTAAGCAATTCTGGTTCATATTGGTGTTAGAAAAAGTCACAGTAGAAGATGTTTTATTTCCTGGGTTTCATATTAAATTCAGATATTGAAATAAAATATTGAATTGAGCTGTAAAAGAATATTTTTATCACAGAGACCAAAAAGTTTTACTATTACAGTTGCCAGGTGTTTACTGTAGATCCTACAAAAACAGATCAGTTCTGTTGTCACATGTACTGTATATGCTTTGGACTTTCAATTATACAGGTTTTTAACTGAAATTGCAACTACAATCTTTGATTGCTCTGATTAGGAAAATGGGTATCATAACTCGGGAAACTTTATTTAGGGTACATGTTGCATAGTGAATGTCAGGCGTAGATGCAATATGAACTAATAATAATAATTGCTTACACTTATATAGCGCTTTTCTTGACAGCCATAGTACGCCAGAACGCTCACCACACATCAGCTATTAGTAGGGAGGAGAACAGAGTAATTAAGCCAATTCATAGAAGGGGATTATTAGGAGGCCATGATTGGTAAGGGCCAATGGGAAATTTGGCCAGGACGGCGGGGTTACACCCCTACTCTTTTTTTGAGAAACACAATGGGATTTTTTTTTTGGACCATCGAGAGTCAGGACCTTGTTTTTCTCATCCGCAGGATGGTGCCTTTTTACAGTATAGTGTCCACTATACTGTGGCATTAGTACCCACATAGACCACAGGTTGAGTGCCCCCTGCTGGCCACACTAACACCACTTCCAGCAACAACCCTAGTTTTTCCCAGGACGTCTCCCATCCAGGTGCTTGCCAGGCTCACACCTGCATATCAGTGGGTTGCCAGTTGTGAGTTGCAGGGTGATATGGCTGCTGGGTAATGGCTGTAAGGGAAAGGCAGTGTCCTCGGTTATGTGAAAGAAAAAATACAGACAGTAAAATGGTTCATTTTACCTTGGGGCTGTTAAAATTTTAACTAAAGGTTTAAAAAAAAAAATCTGTGCAGTGATTAGCAGTGAGGCCCTGTGTTCAATTCTTGGAGTGCTGTCTGCATGAGTTTGTATGCTCTCCCCTTGTTCACTTTGTTTTTCTCCGGGTTCTCCAGGTTTCCTCCCACTGTTCAAAGACATATTGGTAGCTTAATTGCCTTCTAGGAGACCTGAACTGGAGGAATGGATGGATGAAATTTTAAAACTAGGATTGGCTAGAATATGGATTTTTCCTGTCTATCATTTTGTCCTCGTGCCAGTGTTTGCATTGCAGTTTCTAATTTACGTTACACTGTTTTCACCTTTCATGTTGGCATTTGAGTTCTCGGTGCAGAACACATTTCTTTCCGAAGTGGAGTATAGAAAATGAATGAGCTGCTTTCCACAGAGAAACCAACCATGAGATACTCAATACAATGAAAAGTGCTAATTTAGATTACCATACAAAGAATTTCCTTGAGCAGGCTTGGCAGACAGTGTAGTTTTTGTTATTGCTCTGGGTTGTGAACATGTCTCTAATATATAAGGGGTGGCTGGGAGCCAGTTATTCATGTAGGTTTGTATTGTGCTTATTGGATTCTTTTTTCATTTTCTCTTTCCTAACCTGAGCATTGTTTCAGCTGCCTAAAATCATTATCCGATAGAGAGGATGTCACTTCTATGCCATTGTCGTCGTGTTCATACAGAGAATCATAAGCCTTAAGAAATAGCTTTCTGAACACCTGCTTTTACTGTAGGTTAAGACATGGGGGGATTGAAGAATGTGGTTTTTGATTGAGCTGGGGCACTGTTATAAAGCACCTCAGGGATCTATATATGTGATAAAAAGATATAGATGTGATTTAAGCCATTCTTTCTTAAAGACCTCTGTATATGAAAAGCACAAAAGCCTTGTTTTCAACCCTATGTGCTTCTGAAACGGACCTGATTGCTTGCAACCCTCATTTTTTATTACACAGAATTATTCAAATATTTTTTTTCCCAAACTGAACACTGTAGTGTTAAAACGTCAGGTTGGCTGTTATAGAACAGAATTAATGTAGCAAGTAAGGGTTATTTTGGGGATTATTTTTTTCCATTTGTTTGTAAGATGTATGTTTTTCAAAAGTTTTTTGGAGCTCTGCCCTTTTTAAGGTGATATGCTTATTACTAATAGCTCCTTTCATACAGTATGAGGAGAAAATCAGTAACTCAGCTGTACTTTTTATAGACAGCGTGGCGATGACCTAAATCCCCTCTTCTACCTTTTGAATCCCTATGGAGTGTTACAGAGACACTGAAGTACCCAGGTGGAAGTAAAACCTTAGCAAAGCACTGAGTCAAGGTTAATTTCATTAAAAGGGCAGAAAATAATTTTGTGATCAGGTGTCCAGGTGTCACAGCAACATTACTATCGTGTATCCTAACAGTGTAAGGTTTTGCTTTTTGCTCTGGACCAGAACTTCCAAATCAATCCCCCAGTGTGGTGAGAGGGAACACTGCTATAGTGGTTCTTCAGATAAAAGGTTAAACTGTGGTCATGACTATTTGGTTGCTGACTATCTTATGAGACTCTTCCTAAGAGTAGGGAGTGTTAGTTTTTATGTCCTGGCTAATTCCACTGTGGGCTTCCACGATTTGATCTACCTAATTTTCACCCTTAATTCAGTTGGTGAGAGTAATTTCTCACCTCTCCACTTGATGTGCTGTGCAATGTGGCTCCAGGTGGCTTCAGCACATCAGTGGTGGAAGAAATGGGTCTCCTCATCTATGTAATATACGTTTAAATCCTTTAGGATGAGAAACACTCTAGAAACAGGGAGATGTAATTCTTGACATAATCATATGGCACTTATCTTTATTTAAATTTAATTCAAATCATACTCAAATCAGTAGAGCAACCTTTTTACATTTCTTTCTTTTTGTTGTGCATGATTAAGCTATCCATGCATTGATTAATGCATTAGTGCATGATTAGCTATTTTTCTAACAGTATTATCCAATACAGGTGAGTAGGAGCTCATCCCAGCAAGCAACAGATGTAAGGCAGGATACATCCTGGATGGGACACCAATCCATTTTAGGGCAGACACAGACACAAACATGAACAGTTTTCCCAGAAGCCAAGTAGACTACCAATATGTCTTTTGACTGTGGGAGGAAACTGGAGCACCTGGAGGAAGCCCACAGGGCGCACATGGGGAGGACATACAGTACGCACTCCACCCCAATAGTACTCCAGGAATTGAAAGCAGGGTCCCAGCTTTTTAATGTTCAGTTGTGTAGACCTGTCTTTTAAGTTTTATAAAACTATCAGCTTTGCTGTATGACTATAAAAAATAAGAATCATTTTTCTCCATTGGGTAGAGTGTTGAAGAGAAATTCCTAAACATGATCTCTTACAATAGCAAATGAAAAGAGAAAGTAGTTTGTTCTTCCTCATTTGAAATTGAACAAGTGGTCAATAACATTATTGATCAAGAAATGATTGTTTCTGGTCCTGGAGAATGCATTTGTTGTCGTCTGCAGTACTAAGACCTCTTACCAAGTGCAACACCTGTTCCATCTACCTCTTTTTACATCATGTTCCCTTTAGTTGAAAAAATATTTTGGAAGTGTAGGGAAAGGCGTAAACTCAAGATGTACCCAGCCGTGCATAATTGCCTTCTGGAAGTCATGTTCAGAAGTGGCGAAAATCCAGCTCTTACTAATGTCATTAGTCACTTGAAGGACAGTCATATGATGCCAGTAATTAAATACCAAACACATCATGTTTGTTGTTCTGTGAAAATAAAAAAAATAAAAAATCAGACACTGGACTGTCAATTTATTATAGCTCTGCTTTTTTGTTGTTTTTCTTTTTCAGAACCCCACTCAGGTGGGAACAGCACTTCAAGTGTTTTATAACCTCGGAAGTTTAAAAGAAACCATCAACAGCGTGGTCGATGGATACCGTGCCTCCTTAGAAGACAACGTAGCCAATGCTCTAGACATCAAAGTCTTGACTCAGATGAATCAGGCAAACACAAGAGGTATAGTATTTATGTTGCAGAGAGGTCTTTTCATTGGCTTACAAAGAATCGTGTGTCAGGATGGCCTTTTCGGTTCTTTTCCAGATGGATTAATAACTCCAAATTTGATGTAACTATTTGTTAAGAAATTACCGTGTTGTTTCCGCTTCTTTAATTATGCACATTTCAATATTTCCTTTTTCATGAAAAAAAGCACAATGCACGTTCCAACAGATTTTTTTGAGTTTGCTTTATCACATTATGAAATTTAATAAGAAGTCTAAAGTATTTAAAAAATGGAGAAATAACTCATTATTAGACATAATCTAAAGTCATTTGAATTTACATAAAAGATGGGTCACTGTGTTACAGACTGGGAATTCTGTAATGGGTCTCTAAAGTGCTCGAGTTCTCGGATAGTCCTTTTCCTATTGATAGTGAGTTTGTTTTTTGACCTTTGGTGCGTAGGCGGCCCTGGAAGAGCCGTGATGCCAACTCCAGGGAACACTGCTGCATTCCGAGCAGCTCTCTGGACGAACCTCGAGAAGCTTATGGATCAGATCTGCGCAGCCTGTGGACAAGTACGTGTTGAGGGAAATCTCTGATTCCTCAAAGCGGACTTTTGTTCTTTGCAAGTGGTGCTGAATGCACTGATGAAGCAGAGTTATTTTGGTGACGGTGACTTCCCTGTTGCTGTTGCTTTCTGCTTTCTTCTAAAGTGTAACTAGACTTTAGTCGTCATTCTCACAGTAAACGTCGAAGGTTTCAGAAAAAGTTTTGCAAGGTTTAGCACCTCATGTATTCATCACTAAGAAGTTAGAAGTTAGAGTGAGGATCTTGCCAGTAAAACTGGATTTGTTTATTGCTTCTGTTGGGTCATTTGATCCCAAGCCTTAAAGAAAATGAGGAGAAGCATGCGAATGAAAGCAAAAGCATTAGAGTACTTGAAGAAAGCATCCTGATAATACTTCCTTAAATAACTTCCTATTAATGAATAATGGGAGAATTGGAAGAGTGAAAAGAGACCAATGTAACACATTGGATCGAGGAACATTGATATTTTGAGTAAGATTTCTGTATGTGTGTGGTTGCAGGTACAGCATCTCCAGAAGGTTCTGACTAAGAAAAGAGACCCTGTCACCCATGTGTGCTTCATAGATGAAATTGTTAAGGTGAGAGTTTGTTTTAATAGTTCTGTAATTTGATGCTAATAATTACGGAAGTTGTGTACATAGAATTTTTTTTTCCCCGTCACTTAAAGGTTTAGCTTCAGCTTTTTGGCTTTAAGCTCTACTCAACAGACCTTTAAATTGTAATTTATAATTGTGCCGCCAGCAGTAGGGCCGTTACCATGTAGTCTGGTTACGATCACAGAATGCTTCTTGATTTCAAGTGGATATTTATACCTCATGCCCACAATACTGAAGAGCCATGCTGGCACTGCTATGAAGGCATGCCGCAGTGTTTCCGTTAGTTTTTTGAAAAAGATGCCGTGCCAGTGCCATGTTTTGTTGATATCCTTTCATACCTACTGTTTGCACATCCCAGTGTCACTTTGAACAGCCTCGTGTGCGAGGCTCACACTTCACCACAAAAAAATCCAGTTAACAACTCCCTGGGAGGACTACCAAATCAAAGCTCTAATAAAAGGTAAAAGAACGGGGAGAATATAATGTCCAAATGCAGCTAAATATCATCCTTAGAAATTAAAGGAGAATCAATCAATATCTCGGTCACCTAATTGTGGCAGTGTAGAGAGAAATATTTCAGTGCTTTAAAAAATTAAAAAGCAGATTGTAGTATATAGGAATACAGTACATAATCATAACTTTTTTTCAAGTTTTTGAGCTTCTGGTACTGTAGATGCACTAAGTCATCATCTTTTTAATGATGGGTCTGATGCAGTCGAGTCAATGCCAGAACTAGGCATGGATGTGGAGAAGCTTGTGAATGGATCTTCTGGAGAGAAGAAAGCAGCAGAGCCCCAGAACCCATAGAAAACCTTCCAACCAGTCTGCATATGTAAAATGAAGTTGAACTGTGTCACCCTCCACGAATGTAAAAGGCGAGGATTTTGTCTGTTGTGCTCCTCTTCTATGTAGTATGGTTTCAAGGCGAGCAAGCTGTAAGAAAATGTATATTTACAAAGAAATACGATAAAGTCTTAAAGTGACTTCATTGTTGATCAATTCTGTCAGGCAAAGCCTAAACTGTCTTAAAAATAATGTGCAGTGATAAACATGATTTGAATCCAGCGTACTTTAATGAAATGAAAGAATATAAAGATGTCATATCCTATAAAAGCAGTTTGAATTGTCTTAAAGTAGTATTAAACAGTTAATAAATAATTTGACATTCACATTTCATTGTTAGAAAGAATGGGCAATGATGAATGCAACTCAGACCACAATGAAAGTAAAATATGCGCAGTAATGTGTAAAATCTCCAATTTACATCACAAAAATGTCCAAGTATGCACAGCACTATATTGCCGCTATTGTCTGCAACTCAGAACGAGGGAACAGAACTTCCTGTAAAGTGAAGTAGCCTATTACGTTGTAGACAAGCAGGCTTGTGAATGCATCTCTTTTATTTCAATGGAAATATTGCCCTCAACTTCGAGAAACGTTTGCCAGCAAATACTGCCTGTTAACTCTGCATACAGATCACGTTGTAACATTTGTGCAGTGCAGTGAAATGTCTGCTGCACAACCTGTACTTATTCACTCGTACATCACATTCATTTATATATTAGAGTGACTAGTGAGCAGGAAGGACTGATTAAGCGTCAGTCTTCGCAAACTCACCCTCTCGCCCATGGGACAACGTGACAACATGGCAGCTATACAATATTTTCACAAAGTTCTGAATTTTGAGCTTAATTCAGTAGTTGTACAATTTTTCTATATTTAAATTTTACTATGCTTTTACTGTACCCTTTTATAATGTTATACATTATAAGACATCTGAGATGGTGCTCACTCTGGAAAATATGAAATTACAAAAAACTAGCATAGTAAATAAAAATCTTAAATTTAAAATGAAAGACAGTTGTGCAGTCTAGACAGAGCACTTGTGCAGTGAGTAGCAGTTTTCTAGACAGCAGTTGGGAATGGTTTAGTTGGAGTTTAGAAAGCACACCTTTGTCCGTGCACTAGCTGCTTAATAACCAGCACGTTAACAGTAAATCAGTTTATAATTGAGTCACTGTGGGATGAGTGCCTGAGCAGAGGTTGAATCAACACTCATGGTACTGTATGTAAGCAGGCCTGGGCTCTTAGCCTCAGGCAGCTTATTATACTTAACAATTTTTCCTTGCACACAGCCATTCCCCTTACTGTAACTCTGTAACGTGTTTCACTGCTTTAATTGTGTGTCTTGTATACAGTCAATAAAAATAAAAGGGGCACAGTATTCATTATTAAATTTGTTTCCATTCATGTCACTCCTAAATAAACTGAGAGGTACTTGAACAAAGGCCTCTCTTTGTATCTTTCCAGAAGATTGCTTGTGCTTAGAGAATTTTACCTTGCTTCGTCTCACAGCCATTTTATGGTACTTTAATGTACAGTAAACAAGTTTTAGTTTATTTTAGTGCACATTTAAACCTCATTTTACATAAAACTTGAAATCTTCAGGTCACATTTGTATCAGATATACATATATATCCACAGTACATACTGTGTAATAACTTCTGTTAATAATCAATTCCAAATGAGAACATTACATGGAGAATTGATTAGCCGCAGCTACACATCAGCAGTTCCTCTAGGCCTCGATTTGTCTCCTCCAGTGTTTGTCACTCGGCGGTGTCAACTGTGAATACGAGCAAATTGCTTGCTTGGTTCTTTAGTTAAACAAGACTGTAGCTTTTTTTTAACCAAGCTTTGTATGTTGGTATGGATTCTGCACAGCTTATCCCTGGGTTTGTATGTTTACTCTCCACGCAATTTACACAGTGCACTTTGGTGAAGTGCATTTCACCCGTGTCACTGATGCTTTCGCTGAATTTCATTTTATTGCTGAGAATTATCAAAGAGAAAATGTTTAGCACATTATTAGATCCTGTTATGTTGGACATTTCATTAGTATTTTTTTCCTTTGTGTGTTTTTATATCTGCCTTCTTCACAGTGATTCTTTAATATCCTGCTGTGTCCCATTTGTGAACAGTGTAGAAGGCTTATGTTTTTTTTTTCTTTTTATGCTGTTACTCTTGGCATCCTTATTAATCCTGGATGAGCTTTAATTACTTTAGTTGGAGATGAAATAAGGTTTTTTTACTACTGGTAATCTTTTAAAAACATAATCAGTATTCACCTTTAGTGATAATCTTGCTCTTTTTACCAAATGTCTAACATACTGCAGTGGACTACATTTCAGAAATAATTTACAAAGGATTTAGTACTGGGGCTTTAACTGGGACATTTCGTAATACAAACAAGAGAAAGTGCATGTACCAAAACAAATAAGATAGGTTTATTTCTGTGTAAAACATTGTAGCTTTCTGTTTGCTTTAAGAAAACTGTAATAGCTGTTGTGCACAGAGACTTGAATCATGGTAACATGGCTTGGTACACCATGAGACTATACTTCTAAAAGAGAAATCCTTGCATTCTCGTTATGTTGTAGTACTTGTTTTCACATAGAGTAGGTGTTGCAGTGGGTAGAGATTCCTGACCTGCAGTTCCAACAGCATGTGGGATGAAGTTTTGTTTAAGCCTGTAGATAACTGGGAATATGCTGCAGTAAAATTTCCAAATGTATAATGCTTGAATTTTGCTACGGAAATATTTATTTCCTTTGCAAAAATGTTTTAAAGATAAATTTATTTCTTAAAAATCTTGAAATCTACACTCAATAAAGACCACGTTAAAACATGTTTTTATAATTTTGTCAGTGGTTTTCAATTAATATTAAAAAACAAAATAACTTTTTAACCTGTTGAAAACCAGTAAGAAGAAAGTAAAGAAGCAAGGACGACCTCTTGTTTGTCTTAACGGAATGTGGCCTCCTGGAATTTTAGGAAGCAGTAGTCAGTCCTTTGAAGTCAGTACACCTGGTTTGCAATACCTGAAGCTGAATCAAGTTTGAATTGAGCTTAAAGGTAAGTATTATCAATTGCAAATGTAGTGTTCAGAGCAAAGGACCTGTGTTTTTACTTCATATTTTAATGAATGTTGTCTAACTTATTTGTGTTAACTGACTTGCCAGTCAGTCATATCACTTCACACTATCGCTACCAAATCAACTTACCTACCTCTTCTGAACTGACACAGACACGCATTGCAACTTTTGAGTGTCTTGTGCAGTGAGGCTACGCTTAAATATGAGTATGGACAGAAACAGCAGACATTTTCAAATGGGAATTAAAGCAGCACTTCCAGGGACCCAATACCATGAACATCGCTCCATCTATGTATGGTGATGGTATATGAACTCCCTGGTACTGTACTTCAAATAACCCCATCTAGTAGTTTTGTAAAATGCTAACTGTGTATCTTCCATATCTCATAGATATGTTTACATATGCGTAATTGTCTCTTTCTGTAAGATCTAAGCAAGCTGCACATCAGGGTTTTCCAACATGAATTTAATATTATTTTCTAAGCCGCTCGTTATTCTGAGTTAACAAGAGTTAATATTGGTATGCTTTTTAATTTGCTTTGTCTTTGTACTTTTTGAAAGCATTTTTGTTTTGTGTTGAAATATGAATTTAATTTTTTTCCCCATCTCCTATTTATTAAAAATGTTCTGTATATTTGTCTCTTCTCATATATATATAGACAATACCAAACACTCGGGGCTTGTCATGCAATCAAAGCTGCCATTTAATAGCTACTTTGTTTCAGGTATTTTGAGTGGAATGTTTGAAATGTTATCTGTCTGAGCTGGAGCCAGCAAAATTAAGTAGACCATAGACTATTAATAGGACCTTGTGTATTGAGTGACACATCGTAGCATGGCCATTATAAATGCTTGCCAATTAAGGTTAGAATATGTGTCTGTAGAGAGGAAGACAAACTGTTCAACCAATAGTAAACCAGTTTACAAGGAGGAACATTACAGTTTGTTCCTGTGGCTGATTGTAAACTAGGCTGTAACATTTAAAATGCAAGTAACTAATAATACAAGCAAGCAATAATAATTTTTCAAGACTCAAGGGAAATGTCT